TTTCTGAATAAACTAAATCATTTTCTGTTTTAATGAGAAAAACACCTTCTCTGTTTTTTCTGAACTAACAGTTTTCATTAGGAATATTTTTTTCCCCCAAATTAAGATTATTTTCAGTTTTTCTGAATAAATTGGATCATTTTGTGTTTTCATGGGAGAAAATCTGTTTTTAAAGAATCAGGTGATTGGATTCAACAAACATCAGTTATCAACACTATCCGACTGTTCTGTTTGAAAGTGGTGGTGACACAATTTCCCTCAACTGTTCTGTGGAGACCTGAACTTCAGAGTGTCAAGTCTGACTAACCAGTTTGGCCTTTAGGCTTGAAGAATGTGACAGAATCAAGTCTCTCTCAGATCAGAGCCTGAAGACGTGTTAATGAAAACTTCTTTATTACTTATTTTTTACACATTATGACAAAGACAACACCAGATGTCTGTTCTTAAGATCCCATTTATTTGTTGTGCAAAATTAGAGCGTACAGAACTACAGACTTTAACTCGACTCAAACTTGTGTGAAGTACAGTTTGCTGTAATCTACGAGACCATCGTGATACAAACACTGACAAGAAAAAAAAACCCTCCAGCCATGTAAATGTGCAGCAGAGATAACGACACGACACCATAAATATAAACTCAAATAACAAGACACCAGTGTAAAAACATGTGCACGCGACAGCAGGATTCTGGTCCCTGTAGATCACAGCACAACTGTTCACCAGGACGAAGTAGAAGACACAAAGACAGCAGCTCTGATATGGGACGATCTAATGTTACTTCTGCTGAAAAGGAAAAGTATGAACAAATGCAGAGGGAACCATGCCAGGTTCGTTAGTTTCTGCGTCTGACTTCCAGTCAACAGTCGACAAAAGAATTCCAGTGCATTGATGAATCAGCTCCTTCCATTTCAGTTGAACTCTGAATGAGGTTGACGGTCAAACAGCCGCCGACGGCCACGAGCCCAGTCATTATTCTTAGTGTTATTATTATAATTAGGGGTTCGATCACATAGTGTTCCAATGTAAAGTGGTGAGTGCAATTAGGTCCAACCCACAACCGACATCCTGCTTCAATCTTTGGGAGGAGGACAAAAAAACAAAAAAAAAAAGGCAATAAAATCGTAATAGAGTGAGGACAAGAGACAAAAGTCACATCATCACAAACACATGAGAACGAACCATTTTTGCCAAATTAGACGGAGAAAGAAAATCTGCAGAGATCTGAAACTTGCAGGTTTCTTCCACAGTTTCATGCAGGTGATGTAACGAGGCACTGGACGAACCCACCCTCCCAAAGAGAAAGTGCTTTGGTGTAACTTTAGAAACCGGATGTTATGTTTAGAGAAAAACTGTAAAATGAGACTACGGCCACTAAACAAACCTCACGGACATTTTTTTTTTCCTTCAAAATCTAAAAACCAAACCAAATTTTAAAAAAATGGTCTCGACACACACGATCTACAAGACAAAAATAAAAACTGATGAACGAAACCAAAGAGGTGCTAACAGCTAACGTCATTCTCCGTTATCAGTCTGTAACTTGTAGTAGCTTCATGTCCTCTTAACCCTAATAACACCTCCCTCGTCTCCCAGGTTTAAATAGTAACCTCGACAAAACTAGCTCATGTTGCATCCTAGTGTTAAAGAATCATCATTTAAGCTTCTGAGAACTTCAGATGGATTTAAAAAAAAAAAAAAGATTTAAAAGAGACCTAAAAATAAACAAGAGGGCGTCAGAGACTAAAGAGGAAACAAAAGTCACCTTAAAAGGTGATTCAGCCTCATTTCAGGTTCTATAACTCCTCCCACCTCAGTGTGTTCTGTTTCTGAGGCTTAACTCTGGATCAGTTAAACGCAGACGCGTCGTCTCTCTGCTGCGGCTCTGCGGAGAAAATAAAAAATGATCTTGTACCATTACGAGCCAGCAGGGAGCAGTAGCAGCATGGAGAAATACTCTGAGGAGCAGCGATCCAGTGAAGGCATCAAGGCAAAGTTTTCAGAAGAAGTTTGTCGTAGATCGTTTCATCTTCTCTACACTTCTTATCAGCACGTGTGTGCGTGTTTTTTTTATTTTATTTTTTTTATCTCGGGTGATGTCGCATCAGGCCTCTCCTGGCGTTGGTGGCCTGACGCTGCTGGGCGAGGAAGGACATGGCCTGGTTGGAGTGTCCCAGCCGCTCGCCGGACACTTTCTGATGCAACGCCATCCCCTGAGGAAAACAAACGTCTTCCTCAAACTCGTTCTCTCCGGAAAAACAAACCCAGCAAACACGTGAATGTTTTTCTCGACCAACATGTTTTCATGTATCTGTGCCGTCACTCACCATGTTGTACCATGCGGAAATGATGAGTTTCTCCTCTTGGTCGTGTCTGGCTCTGTTCTTCTCATAGTCATGCTGCAGGAAGAGAACAGACCAGCATCTTTATCTGCTGCACATTCTTTTTAAAAACAGTCCACAGACGTGACGACAGATGTCACCGACTGTTTGTGTTACAGTCGTGAGAACGCAATCGAGATACTTTTAACAGGACGCATTAAACAATCAGAGTACATTCCTTTTTTTTTTTCTCCCACTGTCCAACTGGAACGGGAAACAACAGTCTCCCGACATCTGTTTTTCCTGAAGCGTCCCGGACAACTCGCATTAGCAGAGCTGGAAACACCTGATTGTGTCTTTCCATTAAAATGGTTCTCACCTCCAGGTGGTGGATCCTTCGCTCCTTCTCCGTCAGCTGGTTCTTCAGAGCCTGGATGTCAGGAGTGGCAGCGACCTGCTGCTGCTTGGGATCCAGGGTTTTGATCACCTGCACACAAGAGGATGTGTAACACTGTTTATACAGAACAGCTCCTAATAAAATGATATTGATATCGTCTTTTGTCAGATTTGTTTGTTGTTCTTGTGGCGTCTGATGTGATCCGGTAGTGGGAGGGGTTACTGAATCACTGAAGATCCTTTCTTTCAGCCTCCACACGTCAAGATTTTCTTTTTTTTCCATTTTCAAACCAAGGTCACAAAAAGATTTGTTACAACTCCTCTCTGTGTTTCTGTTCAGAGCCACAGGAAAAGCCGTTGTGTTCAGGTGCACTGACCGTTTTCGCCTTCTCCACGTAGCGCTTGTACCGCTCCTCCATCTGCTTCATGTCCTCGTCCTTCTTCCGCAGGATTTCCTGGAGTTCGTCGATCTTCTTCGCCACTGAGACGGAGAAGAACAAAACAGGTGTTTAGAGGAGAAGAGAGAGTTGTACAGTGGCAGGTGCTCAAAGATTCAGCAAAGAGCTTGAAGTTATTATTATTATTGTTTTGTAGAAGACTTACTGCTGTTGTCCACTTTGGGCTCCAGGTCATCGATGACCTCTCGTTTCTTCTGAAGGTCTGAATGAGCTTCATGGAGCTTCTCTCTGCAACAATCACAGGACAAGAGTGTGAGTTGGCTCGTGTTTGGGCAACACATGGAGAAATGATGCTTTAGATTTGTACTTACAAATGCTCCTCAAGCTTCTTCTTCAATAAGGAGGACTAAGAAAAATGGGAAAAACACACATTAAAACCCAACAGGTTTTCTAAATGGCACACACACACACACACACACACAAACATGGTGTAAGCATCAAAAGCCAAGCTGTCAAAGAGTTAGATCATGGGCCAGGTGGACAGAGGGTGGGCCGTACTTACGATGGCCTGATTTTGGCAGAGTTGACCCACGGGGGCAGACGAAGAGAGACAGACAGAGAGGGGCAGGTGTTAACAGTGAATCACCACAGCACACTTGAGTTCAAGTCCCACACAACATGTATTAAAAGTCAAAACACTGCAATCATTATTATAATTATCAATCTGTTTTCATTTTGAAACTGGATTAACAAAGATGTGTCACTTGTATTTTGGTCTTATCTGGTTCAGTTTTCAGTCTGAACTCGATTGTAGGAAACTATGATTTACGATGACGAAAGTTTTGAGTGTGAAGTGACTAAAGAAGGCAGAGGAGGAGAAGGAGGAGGCAGCTCTCGCTCCACTCACATCTTCAGTCTTGCTGTCCTGCTCCTGCAGCGCTTTCTGGAGCTCCTCGATTTGAGAACGCAGCTCTGAGATCTGCTGCTGGTTCAACCTTAAAAAAAAAGGAGAAAGAGCATAAAAGATGAGAGATGAAAAAGGGAACAGGGCGGAGAGAGCCACAAACAATGAGAATGGTTGAAGATGTGAAAACACGAGAGAGAAGGTGAAACGTAATGTTGTAAAGATTCGTCTCTGGGCTGAAGATGTTTGCATCGTATCATATGGATCCTTCTGTGCTGCCTGGCCTGTCCCTGCTTCTCTCCACTGAGCATGCTCACTCCCCTCCTCTCCTCCTGTTACTGTTGCTGAGGATGCTTCCCACACCCTGGGCCTGGTGCTGTAATACACACGCAAAGTCCACCCACATGTCCACATGCCCACCGGCATGTAAACACACACATATATACACACACAGTCAAGGGACAATCTGGCTTTCTGCTGTCCGTCCTCCAGCGCAGCCCACACAGCTCAGTTGAGCACACAGTCCAGAGGGTGAGTTGACATTTAGGCAGATATCACTCCTACTATCAGCCAAACAACCTGCTCAATGTCCAGGAACACACAATATGGCGCAATAGAAATGACTCAACACGGAGTTGGCCAGTGTGTTGAAGGAAACAAACACACACACACGCACACACACACACGTACCTGTTCTGTGTTTCCAGGGTGTTTCTGCAGCGCTGAGCTTCCTCCAGCTCGGCCTGCGCCTCCACCAGTTTCTGCCTGTATGACTCCTCCTGGACGCACAGCATCTTGTTTTCACTCTGCAGACGCACGACTGTCTCCCTGTCGCAGGTAAGAGGAGAGAGGGGGAGTGGGAGGAAAAGCGATGGCGGAGGAAGAAAATGGAAGAAAGATGAAGTGGGTCAGAGAGTGGTGGAAATAAAATTAAAAAAAAAATAAAAAGATTCTGCAGAGTTGACCAAGCCCCGTTGAATGACAACGCCCAGGCCAAATGTGCCGCCATGTGTCGCTATTTCAGGGGACAACTGCGCATTCAAGTTCTAAAAATAAAGTCTGGACGAGTCGTTTATCTCGGGCCAGAGAAGATGAATACAGGGTGTGAGTGGGCGAGTCTCATCTGTTACACCACAGCTCACACACAGACATACAGAATAATAAATGACAAGCATACTTGAGCTCGGTAGGCATGATCTCCGCAGCGAGGTTTCCAACTGTGTCGCCACTGTCACACAAGCCTCCTGTGGAGACAGAGAGAGTTTTGTGATTTTCATTTCTGAACATATTGTTATTGGAGTATCACATCAGACTGCAACTTGTTCAGTTTTTATTTCCACACCGAGCAGAGTCACAACTCACCAGCTCCACTGAGACACCTCTGCTGGACCTGTGCACACCTGAGCTCGTCATTCGTCTCCCGAAGCGTGTCTCTCTCCGAGATCAGACGCTGAGGAGCACGACACAAACAGATCTCACTTTGGTTTGTTGTTAGAGAATTTAACTAAATCACACTTGAAGCAGAACAACCCGATGTTAGCTTCATGTCAGAACGGATTCGAAGATATCGTCAACAACTTTTCAGGCCGAGCTCTGGACTCTGTGAAACAAGAGTATCACTGATGCCATATGTGCCCGGTCGCAACCCGACATCCTCACAGAAAGGATTTCCTCTCCATTCCACAAACCAGAGAACCAAAGGTGACCGGGCCTCGTCTGTTCAGTCAGTTTTATAAATGTGCTTTCATTTATGTATTCTCGTAACCCCCATTTCTTTATTTGTCTAAATTATCGTATTTAAATGTGTTTTGAATAAAGATCGCTTAACATTTCAACAGTTTGTTTAAAATGCTTTTATCATTTCATCTTGTAAAGAACTTCGCAAATTAGTTTTGAAAATTGCTCCATAAATAAATTATTATTATTATTATGTATTTACTTCACAACATATATTATGTTGTTTTATAACAGATAATGGATGAAGTGAATGTAAACGCACGTTGGTACAGTGTGTATTAATTACTCCCACAAGCAAGCGAGGACATTAATCACTGCTGTCAGATTGCAGAAGGTGCTAGAACTGACACTGGACGTGGGAGTCCACTGAAGAATAGTACAATATTTGCCTGGCAACAGCTCCACCGGCAGCAGCGTGCGTACAGTAATGATCACAACAAGAGCTAGTGTATGGCTGGACCTGGTGTTTGGTCAACGTGGGAAACTGAGGACGCAATTGAAAACTTGTGTAAGTGCCGTAAACAGCGACTTCCAAAAACAGTAATTCAATAAATTTCAGCTGTTCTCATGTAAATGTTTGTCTGTTGTGACGTTAAAGTCACAACAGACATCAATTATGAAAGTTTTTGTAACAGGTTTCATTTGCTGAATTTTTTTTTTTTTTTGCACCCGTCAAAGTCGTTGCAGAGAATTGAAATCACAGAAATGTGTTTTCTTCTTTATAATGTTTGGTCTCAGATCAACGAATCAAACTGAACTGGCCCCTGAAAACACAATAACAACTGTTCCTACACCTTGTGAGGTGATGGAGCGTGACCACGATATGAGACGGAGATAATTCATACAGATGCTCCGTGTTGATAAAACACCCAATGGCATGAATGGGGTTTCCCCCCCCATTCACAACTTAACTTTTACTTCCTGACGTTCTTCCAACTCACTTCTTTCTCTTTCAGCAGTGCGTCATACTTGTCGTGAAGGTTCTTGTACTCAAACTGCCACTTCTCAGCTTTCATGGCCTCTGCTGAGTGCTTGGTGTGAAGCTCATGAGCCTGCAAGTCACAGAGCACAGCAACAGTCTGTGTTGGCAAGAGCGCTCAATAAAAGCTGCAACATTTTCCACAACACGTGCCGAAGCCAAGCGATGTGTTCAACAGCACTTGGAGATCAACACAAGGAGCAAGCACCGCCCTCCTTGCCTGTCTCTTGTAGGTGTCCAGCTGGTTGCGGACAGCGTTCGCTCGGCGGAGCTCCTCCTCCAGCTCGCAGGTGCGCTGCATGTACACGGTGTTGCGCTCCTCCAGGAGGCGCACCTGTCTGCGCAAGTCTCCCAGATCCTCCAGCTTCCTCTTGTACGTCTCCACCAGCGCTTCAAGCTGGTTCACCCGGTCAGACGAATGCCTGAGGGGGGAGATGTGTGGGAAGTGTTGAGCAACAACACAGGACTATGACTTTTAGTTAAACACAATACATCCGTGTGGTTATGTACTTAACGGCTGAAAACAAAACTGACGCAAGCCAGAGTCGATGCATCAAATTCATATTACCAACACAGATGTCAGAGAGAGGAGCTAATGGACGTCTGTGTGTGGGCAGTGTGGGAGTCGTTTCTGTGAGTGTAAAATGATAATAAATGAACTACTGCTGGTGATAACCTCCATTTTTGGCATTGTCCATAAAACATCAGATGAAAATGAACAATGTGCCAGTGAGGAACACGGTTTACACAAAATAAAAAAGAATTATGAATCAATTTCATTTGAAGAAGTTCATAATCGATTGAGTCTAAAGAGAATTAAAAAAAGACATCAGGTCCATGTGGATGAATCATGGTCATTTAAGACTTTCTGTGGATTTGCAGAGTATAAACTTAGGTTAGCAAGTACTGGAGGTCTCACCTGAGAATATCCATCTCGTCTTTGAGGGCTTGGGCCTCGTGCGCCAGGCTGGTGAGCTCTTCATTACGAAGCTGCAGGATGACCACCTCCCGCTCCAAAATCTCTCCCCGCACACGCATGTCATCTCTGCTGTTCTCCAATCTGACACACACACGACACACGGCGGTTTGTGTGACTGAACAAACGATAGCTGTTTTCACTTCTGGACAACGCAGCAGGAGATTCTCCGATTCAGATCACAACAACAAATAATACCTGTAGTTCTCCTCCTGAAGCTGCTCCATCTGACTCTGCAGCAGCAGCAGCTTCTTGCCAGTGATGGCAGTGGACGAGGTGTCCAGAGAGTCGCGGTGGTTCAGCTTCTCCTTCAGAGCGCGGGTCTCCGCTTGAAGGGCCGACTTCTCCTCCAGCGCCGCTGACAACTATAGGGGAGGGGGGGGGGAGAAAGAAAAACAGATGACAAGTGTTCCAAAAAAGAGACGTAGAGACAGAGGTTCAGTTGAACACTGCTGAGAGAGAAGTGGTGAAGATGCAATAAGCGACAAAAAAGGAAGGAAAGAAGAAGAGGCAAACAAATCTGCATGAGAAAAGTCGTCACTTCTGATTTACAGAATAACATCGTCCAGAAAGCTGCTAATCCAAAACGTGAGCCAGTGTACGAGCACTGGTCCGACTCGAACAGGAACAACACTGACATGGGGCATCGCACTCACCACCTTTCGTGCACAGAGGAGCTCGAACGCATGCTTGTCGTCATGTCACATGCTCAGTCGTCAAAGGATTGTTAGTCAGCTGGTGTGCAATGGTCTCAGGCAGACGGAACGTTCTCAATGGTGGAGTTGTTAGCGTTAGCCTTGGGGTCAAAACCAGACCCTCATGATGTGAAGGGATCAATCTGCACAGCTCACTGAGGAGCATGTGTGATATTGCTATAGCTGGAGGACAGAAATGTTCTGACTTCAGGGCTGATGAAGGAGGTTTGAGTTGAGACAGGGAGCGAGAGAGTGTAGTAAATGTGCAGTTTAGAGTCGTATCACATCAACAGAACGTTTGTGTTGTGAGGTAGTTAGAGAATCTGGTGTTTCAGTTTTAAAAAGGGGAACTTATCCTTACCTGCTGGACATCGTTCCAGTTTGAACACAGCAAAACCCTTCACTGAACTTTAAGCACAGATTGCACGCTTTAGCACAGGACCAGTAAATAGCTTTCAAAACAACACAAATGACTAATCCCTAATGCGTGGGCTAAGTAAGTAAACAAACAGGTGGGCCGAGAGCAGCACAAATTATTGTTGGCTACAGCTCCATCCCGAGGCAATGTGTCAGTTCTATCTTGATGTTATGCAACTATTGACTGAAGTGTTTCTTTAAAAAAAAAAAAAAAACCTAAATTAAACCCTCCTCAGTCCGAGGTGCAAAAACAAGGAATGGGAACACAAAGTCTGAGGCTGATCAATAAGAGCCGGAGCAGATTTTAACACAACAACTGACGGCTCTGTTAGACAATCTTAAAAAAAAACTATAAATAGTAATAACTTCATGGAATCAAACCCATTCTTGACGCCAGTTATACTCAGCAGTTCTTCACCATTATCCACTCAATGCAATTAGATTTGATTATTTGTTCTTATCATTTGAATGAATGATTCATTATTATCAGAAGAGTCCTTTGCTGAACTGAAATGCATTTATATATCCACAAACTGCTCAAATCGGTCAAATTTCATTTTGTACAGCCCATATTTACGATTCACAATTTGCCTTTTTCGGTCGTAACAACGTGCGACATCCTCTGGATCCAGTGAAACTGTGCAACTTTATCTAATTGAAATCTAATTGACTGTTCACTCTGCTTCAGTCACATCACAGCTGCGTTAAGTTGCCTCTGACACGCACCAAACGCTTCCTACAGTTTCACATTAACAGCGCTCAGCCGGTGAAACATGCGATGCTTGTCACACGTGGTTTGCACTGACAATTCTTCTTCTTCAAGAAACACATATTTGCAAAAGCGGAACAAGCAGCAGCAGCAGCATTCATGGTGAGCAGTTAGATGTTGAACACTAGCTGTTACTTGAGTGACCACCAAATCAACCAGGGCTATTTTATTTAATTTTAAGGAAATAATTAGCAAAATAAGTCAATAACCAACCTGATGTTGCAGGTGCTGACAGCGTTGGCTCAGATCCTCCTTCTCGTCTGCCTCCTCACTCAGGAAATAATACTTCCTGGACTGCAAACACACAACACAGCGACAGAGGAGATCTCATACTAGTCAGTGGGCTGGAATAAACATGATAAATGCAAAAAAAATATATATATAACAGATCCAGGGTTGTATTCCAGAGAGCAGATCTTGTTAAGTCTGTGAGTCTGAGATGAGGAAAGCTCTGGGTTTCTGCTCGAGAAACAGAGTCAGTTACTGTGGTAATTTAAAGTGTGAATGTATAACTTGCTTCCTGGAGGGTACTTCCTCAAACAAACCCTGTCTCCTCTTGCTGAGCCTCAAGAAGTCATCTGACATGACATGTAATTCTCTTATTCACACTCATTTCAGAGCACATCTATCTGCAGACGTTGGAGATTTAAACTCCATTGGACATTAGCTCGTCTCTCAAACCCTGCATTAAGTCTTTTATAATCCATCAGTCTTTAATGTGAGGACAGAGACGGTGAACTCTAACATTCATCTGTCAGGTCGTCAGTCAGCTACTGAATACTGATATATACTGATAATTTAAATCATCCGAGTGAAGCTTCAGACACACATGACTCGGACCTCGGAAGAATCGGTTCTCATGGTGTGACTGGTCGCACTGATGGGACATTCAAGTCATACTCATCATAACGTTAAGGACATTTCATGGACTGTCGCAGTTGCCCCATAACATAGCGTCGTGTTCATGAAGTACCATTCATTTACAAAACCACGTTTAAAAACATTGGGACCAGGTTGCACCAGAATTCCCGTTAAAGTTGAACCTGCTTTCTGAAACCTGCCCCTGGTGAGAGGAGGGTGACTCGACGTGTTGCTGGTTTCACCTGGTAGTCAAAGTCTCCGTAGGTCTCTGGGCTTCCTGGTTCAGATGAGGGTTCCTTCGATAAGAGCTAAAAAAACAAAACAAACAGCCATAAGAAAGTCATTGAGATCAATTGAATTATGAGAAAGACACAAGAGCATTTCCCAAAAGCGTCTTTGTTTGGAACGGAAAGTATTTTTTCTTTTCTTGCTTAATGTTTTTCCAGGAACTCACTTCTTGAATCGCTGTCATCACAACGTGCTGGACTGATTCCTCCAGCGTCATTATTTGCTGAATTTGCTCTGTGTTCAGGAGAAGACAAAACCAGAGCAGTGAATGTGCAGCCAACTGCAGATGATAGCACAAATAATCTTCGAATAACCGATCTATAAGTGTTAAACAGAAGAAGCCTTTGAATTATTATCTGGAAAATGGTGTCGGGAAAACAACATGTGATCAGTTTAAAATCTTGTGACTGACATTAAAAAAAGAATCATGTGAGTCGTCTTTGACTTAATCCGGTGTCTTTCTTCTGCTGCTGCTTGGTTCTTATTTTTCTTCTACAGCCGACAGCTCACCTTGTTTTTTCTCACAGCTGACGGCACAGCCCAGCACAAGCTGCACCAACTTGCCCAGTTCGGTGACATCACCCATCTCTCCTATGAGGTTAACATCTGGCAAGTGTTCATCTGACACCTGATGACCAAGAACCTGTTCACGGAGAGAGAAGATGAGACAGAAGTGAGTCTGGAGATGAGGGGGGGAAAAAGAGGAGAGAGAATCTAGCAAAGAAAAATACAAGAGACTAAAGCAGCTTCCAGACATGGACTTGACTCGGCTGTGTGTGTAAACGCATGTCCGAGTGAGAGGCTCCAGACTTTCTCTGGAGTTTCTCCGGGCCAGCCTCCAGAGTTCACGTCTGAAAACGGCTTCAGAAACAAAAGTAGAGAAAACACAATCTTCTTACATCGTGATAATACTCCAGCATGCTCTTGAGAATCTTTTTCAAGTTGCTGACCTGAAAGAACAAAACGAGATTTTCATTTTCATCAGGGCAAAGTAAAAAAACAAAAACCAACCCTGGACATATTGTTTACTCTTGGTTGCTTTAAGGTACGATGTCATATCCTGTTGTTTCACAAATTACCTTGAGGCGCCAGTTGGCCCCGCTCTCCTCCTTGATCCTGCCGAGCCATGCCTCATTAAACCAAGAGGGGTCTCTGTTAATGAGAGCACAAGAGAACTCCAGTGACAAGGACAACACATTTGTGGACATCAGGGCGATGAGGCTGTGTGCTTCTGTTCTACTCAGTGCGATGACATTTGAATACAACAGTTCATTAAAAGTCATAAGTCACACGTGGGGGGATAACGCTCAGGAGGCAGATAGAAACACAAATCATCCACCACATGCTACAAAAGTAAAATTTGCACCTAAGCATTCAGTACGTGACGTGATTTAACATTTGCACAGATAATGGTTTGGTGCAATTCACAAAGCAAATTAGTGCAAATCACATCACACAGATAAGAAAATCACCAGGAGAAGGTCCAGACTGAATTTCTATTAGGAGTTCAAGGTGCACATAAATTAAAAAATACCACACAAATCAACTACAAATACATTTGTGCTTACATTCTGTTCAGCACATGTGCAATGGCCACTCCGCTTGCCAGGTCATACTTGCTGCTGCACGATGGCACCTGAAACGTCTGCAACTGAGAGTGAGGATAGTAAAAATGATTAAATAAGCGACCTCTGTCAAACATATACATTTCAATAAACTATTAAAATAAACCAAATAAACTATATTAAGGGAGAAATGACGATACACATTCACAGAGTCCCCCTCAAAAAAAACCTCAAACTTTATTAGCCCCTTTCTTTCGTGTTTGTGATCCAAGACACATGAAATTTAGATTCCATGTGTTTCTCAAGTTACCAAATCAGCAAGAAAACTATAATTAATATCTGTGACAGCCTCAGTTTCTAATTAAAGGGGATATGGGCTTACCGAGTTTGAACTTTTTGCAGGGACTCACTTTGATTGAGCTGTATGTTACCTCCAATATAAAAATAACAGCATTATGAGTGATTATAACAGTCAAAGCTGAATTGCAATATACACACATTTTAGATTTGTCAGAGAGAGGGTGTTTGGGTTTTTTAGTTGTCGCTGAGATAAAGTTATTCACCTGAAGCTTCAAAACTATAAAAGAACCATTTCTCCACGACCTATATTAAAGAAGATCTCATATCATTAAGAGGTTAATAATTGGATGTCAGAAACAACTCAAACCTTCCTGGAGTTTCTTTTCATGGCATCAAAAGCCAATTTTTAATGAATCTCACCACTTTGTTTTTCAAGTCGTGATGCTGTTATTTTCTACACTGGGGACAGTTTGATAATTGACTCATTAACACAGAGGTGGGACAGAGAGTAAAGACAACACGAGGACAGTTCCCTGGACTCATATTAAAAGGACGTGTTAAAGTTAAAACTCAGTCCACATCTCCATCAATTAGCATCTGAGACACTGAATTTCAGTTCCACATAAAAAAACATTTCCCTGAACTCTTTGAGAGTGTTTGACCTCACGTGGACTGACTCCGGTGCAGCCTCGGTTAATCCTCCACTTGCCTGTGTGAGGAGGAGAAGAGCCAAACAAGTGGCTTTCCCCTGAGCCCGAGCAGTGACTGTGCTGGACACCCTGACATTACAGCCTAAGACCCGGAGCTGCCGCTAAGCTTGTTTGGGTTTGTTCGGCTGCGCTGAGCCCGCAGCCTGCTCCGACCACAGGCTATAACCCCACAGAGGGCAAACTTCCAGGGCTGCGAGGGCGAAGCTAAGCTGTGGCTCCAGTGGCTAGCGACGGTTAGCTCGGGAACACACCGAGGCCCCCTGCGCTCAGGTCGGCTGACAAGACCGACAACGAGTCGAAGTGTTGAGAGGCTTCGACTCACAGGAGACGGAGACGCCATTGTTGTTGCCTAGTTAGCCGGTTAGCTAGTTAGCCACCTGCTGTCACCTGTTAGCTCCCCCTGCTAACAAACTCACCCAGGTTAGCAGCGAGTCACAGAGCTGCGCTTTGTCCAGACTCATCGTGGGGTTGAGCTCAGCCGGAGACACACACACGCGGAGGGGGGGGAGGTTTTCAGCTCGAGTCTCTTCGCTCCCCTGAACTTCGGCTCTCACACTTTTCCACGTCAGTCATTATCTACGGGCTCCTGCTGCCGAGGCCCGCTTCGCGTTTCACCGCCTGGTCATATCCCAGCGGGCACCCGTACTCAGAGCGTCTCCATGGAGACGGATCAGGTTTCGGGTCAGCGTGTCTGGAAACAAAGAATAAACAACAACAATATATAATAAATACGAACAACATTATTCAACTGAGGATCAAAAGCTCTCTGACAGTTTTACAATCAATATTCAACATGTTTAATATGCGACGAGTCTCAACCTTC